ATTTTAAAACTGTAAAAGCTATAAATGCCACAGATGTGTAAAATAGTAATATTTGCCACATTCTATTGAATTGCACCCTCTGCTCCATCTCACCCAGTAAGCTTTGATGGAAGTATGAAGTGAGGTTTTTTTCCTGTGAAATTGCCAGTACATCAGTGAAGACCCAGAGTTCTGAGGTTCTGTGTGATTCTAAGAAAGTTCTAGGCTAAATGCCGTTAACATATAACTAATGGTATTGTGAAGTTATGACCCAAGAATGAGTTGGGAAAAGTTACAAATCAGCTGGTAGGAACTGTTTAGTTTGTTTCCACTACAAGCAGGTGTGTGTGGTTTTCTTAGTTTATTTCAACTAAATATGCACTGGGATATTACAGAGGTCACCGTTTTCATCCCTGTTTAAAAAAAACCCAAATCTTTCTTTCCCTTCTCCTTCCCAAATTATTGTCATGGTGCTTCTGTGTGTTTGAAGCACAGAAAATACATTTCCACAAGCTCACAGGAGTTAATTATAAATAACACTGGCAGTGTCCTCAGTCCTTTATTATTTGACTGAAGGTCTTGATATTAATTATTCAGATGTAATTGGAATACCAACATCCACTTCTATTTCCAGTCCCATGCACAGTTAAAAATAAGTTGTATACTTAGCATAATACTGCTTTGAGAAAATTGATTTTTAAAATTGCTAATTTTATTTCCTGGGTGTGCAGCTTGCTGGCAGGACCTAGAGTGCCACAGGAGGTAGGCTTGAGTGTGATTTTTGCTGATTGCTGTAGCTGAACAGCCTGTCCTTTGTGCTTGAATAGTAGTGGTATCAACTGCAAACAGTTATTAATGCTTTCATGAAGATGTGCTTGATAAAGATGTCCCTTCTCTGGCTCTGGGAGATGTTAATATGAACACTGCCCTCCTACTCCAGGTCTATGCACTTGCGTAACTGATCGTGTGCTGTGAAGCAATTTCAGTAGATATATTTTCATGAGAATTCTCATCAGGATCTTTAATGAGATGATGGTGTGAGTGGAGATGGCAGAGTTTGTTAGGTTATGTGCCAAAAGCTCCCAGAGAGGACTAAAGAGAGACCATGGTGGGTGGGGGAAGCCCAGACAGCACCCAGTCCTGGCTTCTCCCAGGCCCTTCCCAAGAGTTACCCAGCCCAACAGAGCTCTGTCTCCATGAGCCCAGAGGAGCATGGGGACACAGTGGCAGGTGGGAACCCACAGGAAGGACACAAAGGAATTGATGTTGTCTTTGGGCTTCCCCTTCAGGGCTGGTCCCAGGCGATGGCCTGGACTTCAGGCGTGGCACCCATCAAGATGAGTCAGTGCTGGAGCACATTTGGGACTTAAGGGTATTGCTGTGTAGGGTTGTGGGATGCAGAAGAAGAGCATTTTGAGAACACATATGGTTTATTATGGAATGTACAGTGGAGGAACCAAAGGCAGGGAAAGTGATAGCTTCAAGTCATTTGGGGAGAAGCAAGAGTGGGAAAACAGAGGAATATGGGGATAAAAAAGTCTGGTCATATGTGAATAACCAGGCAGCTGGTTGGTACTCTTTTCTGGCCATGCCCTGTGCTTGATCAGCACAGTCTGTCCTGTCTTGTTAAATTCCTTTTTAACTCTTTTTTGGGTGAGGGACTCTATTTGAGGGGAAAGGGTATACATCTCGGTGCTAGCAACTAGAGTCAAACTGTTGGTCAGAGGGACCATAGGTCCATGGTCCCAAGAACTGGAACAGATGAAGGTCTGGATGCCAGCAGCTGGGCTGGAACCCCGGGCTGGAGGGCTGTGTGCCAGCAACAGGGGACACTTCATGGAGTGAGTGAAATCAAGTGTCAGCCACTGGAGTGGGATTGGGGACCTATTTATCTGTGGTGCAGTACTGGAGCAAATGTGAGCATGTGAGGGAGTATGTGGCTGCTAGTTGAAGATCAAGCTGGAATAGCTGTTGAGTGGGTGAATAAGGAGGGAGCTGGAGGGTGAGTGTGTTTCTCTAAGAGCAAGACCACAGGAGCAGCTAGCTGTTGGGTGCACCAGGAGTCCGGGACAGCTGCTGGAAAGACTGTGGGGTCAGGGGTGAGACATATACATGTGCCTGTGTGCCTCTACAGGCAAGACTGACATGGGGTTGGGTATTGGGGCACCAGTGTGTCGCAGCCAGCCCTGTGTGATGGTCTGTATGGGCAGTAGAGTTGGGCTGAAGCCCTGGGGGCTCCCACACCTGGCTGGAGAGAAGAGCAGGATAAAGCTGTTGGTGTGAGTGCTCTGAGTTGTCTGTCTGTGACTGGTGTGGCCAGAGGTGTGAGTGCATGGTGTATGCATCTGCCTTCAGGAGTAGATTTTCATCCTTGCTACTGGTTGGACCTGGGCATGGAGCTGTGACTGCCCAGCCTCTTGGCTGTCAGATCCAGCATGATATGTCATTTCCTAACAGAGTCTTCTGTAATTACAAACATTGGGTGGTCTCTGTAATGACACGGTGCTTTCATTGCCTGTAACTGTATTAGACATACCTCTTCATTACTAGTTATTCGTTTTTTCAGTCTATCAATTTGATCTTTTGGGAAAAAGAGATTAAATTCTTTCCCTGAGAAAGGAATAGAAAATACTTCTCATTTTGCCTGTCTTGGGAGCCTTTATCATAGTCCTGTTCTTTGGCCACATGCATTTCTGATACAGATTATTTGGATTTATGCAACTGGAGCTTTGCCTGTAACCTTGGAATATAGAGCGAGGAAAAAGCTTAATGCCTCAGAAATGTAAATAGGTCTTGGACCATGTTCTTGAAGATAAAAATATCACTGCTTATACCTTCATGTTACTGCAATTCTGCAGCTTTATTGCTCAAAAAGAATCCTCACAGCCAGTTTTAAGTGGTGCTTGCTATAAAGGATGCCAGATGACAGGGTTCTTAAATGTGCCCCTGTCCCTGATTTTCCCTCATCAATTCCCCAGTGGTTGGGTGGTTCTCATGTGAAAGCTGCATGCTGCATTCCCTTTGCTCATGCTGGTGCTCTTGGAATTGAAGCTGGCAGCCACGGGACTGTTTGTATTGTAACCAAGCTGTAAAAATGAAGAGAGCAAGGAATGTGGAGTCCTGGGAGGCCTCTAAAAGCAAATTTTAAAAACTTGTTTGCATAGCTTTTGACTTACTTGTGTAGAGGGTGTAAGTTCCGTGAATGGAAACACATTATTTCAAAGAGAATCTGAGCATTGTTTTTCATTTGTCTGCAAATTGAAAGAGCTTTGTAAAGGTACAGTGAGTAAGAGTGATGTAGAAAGATCATCATTAGGAAACAGTGTTTGATAATGAAGGCGGGTGTGGACTTAGAAGGCTGCTAAGGTGGATGCCAGTCTTTGATGGATGGTCTTTGATACAACAAAAAAAAAGTCTCAAATACTTAATGGCCTGCAATTCCTACTTAAGTTAATAGAATTGGTGTGACTGTATTAATTTATGTGATATTTTCCCAAAAACTGAATCGTAGCTGTTTGAAATACGTATGTGTGAGTTTTATTAGTGCTTTGGAGCTCACATACTTTGGTTTATTATTTTAATTATAAATTGTGTCAGGTTTTGTAATACAGTAGTAATGGCAGGCTTTTAATCTGCCTCCTACTCAGGTTTCTCAAAACAGAATCACCAAGTTTTTGCTAAGTAAAAGTTAGACACTTTTTTTCCCCTGCTTGCCTCACCTTCATCTGACATTACTGTTTGAAGGCTCAGGACAAGCTTTTATGAAAGGCATTTGTTCCTGCTATCATCACTATAAACTAGCTCAGGCTGCTTGGAGAGCAGATAGTGGGTCTGGAGGAAAAAATAATTTTTTTCTAGCATTTCAGAAGACCTGGGTATGCAAAGTGTCTCATGTTCCAGGAGTAGAGCCTATGTTTCACACCCTGGTTTTGGTGTTTTGCAAGTGTCCACACATGACACTGTCCAACCTCACAGTAGCTGGTGACATTGCTGACGCTGTACTTAGCATCTCGGGGCAGGTAGCTTGAGCAGATGATAGGTTACCTGGATAGAGACTCAGTGTCCATGAATGCCTGTGGTATGACAGGATATGCAGCATGTCCTCAGTGTCAGATGTCTGCTTAAAAAGGGTTTGAAGTACTCCAAACCCAGTTTCTTCTGAGATCATACTAATGACCTTATGTGAGAGAGTGAGACTTCTGCAAGGAACCTTAAACCAAAGTGCCACTAATAAACTTGTGCACAGAGAAACAACACTGCAGTTTTTGGTGCATTTCTCTACTGTTGTTTCTGTGGAAGTCTTGGATGCTTTCTTTTGCAAAGCCCTTCAAAGGCAAAGTTTTACACGAGAAAGTTATGACCTGTGAGTACTTGCATGTCTGTCTGGGACAGATCTCAGTTTCTGCTGGAAGGAATGGTTTCCCCTTGGAACAAAGGAATACATACATATATATATGTGTGTGTGTATGTATGTGTGTATATATATAGATAGATAGATAGATCATAATCGCAAAAGTGACTACAATCAACTTTTTTTCCTCTGTTATACAAAATTAATGCAGTTTGACAGCTGGTAGTCACAGTGATTTTGCTGTCATCTGACTGCTGTTTTACCGGTGGTGTTTAACTATGCTCAAAATAGGTTTGCTGTGGTTGAGAGACTTTTAGAAGAACCAAAGTGAAGCGACAGCAGGGACGAACATTCCCAAGGCGAAATGATAGGGTCTGTGTTTCAGCATAGTACATCAGTTTTGCACAATTTATTTCTGTGCTTCAATTAGTATTGCAGTTGTTGTATTTGCACCAACTTTAATTATTTTTAATATTTTGAAATGTTTCTTTTAATCTTGCTGCATAGGAATCTGAATTATCTTACAAAAATCAAGGTGATTTTGGTAGCTTCTTTATTGCTTAATTCACTACAGTGAAGAAACTATCACTTTATTTACATATGTGCATAAAATGACATGTGCTTGTGTTTCACAAATGGTGACTTTTTTCTTTTTCTCATATTTAGGAAGGCTGTGGAAGAGTTACTTAAAGAGGCAAAACGTGGGAGAACCAGAGCTGAAACAATGGGAGCTATGGGTTGGTAAGTTGTGCCAAGAGGAAATGAATGCTATCATCGATGCCAAAATAAGTTTTATATTTAATGCGTTACATAAGTCTCTACCTTTTTATGTGTTCCATGTTTAAATAATTTGTCTTCATTCACATATTAATTTGGGCAAAAATCCAAGTCTAGATAAGAAAGAAGTTATAGTAAATTCTGTCTGCATGAAATCGCTTGTCTGAGTGGGTTGAAATCAAAGCTGTTGGAAAACTGGGAATAGCTTTGTGATAATAGCTTCCTTATAATAGGTGGAATTTCAAAGTTTGGTTTGGAACCTCATGAGTCTTTAAAATACTGGGTATCTTCAGTGTGCATGTACTTACATACTGGTCACATGTTCCTGGGTTAGATTCCATTTTAAGTGAAAAGAATCCATAGCCTGACAAAGAAACCTAAAGCCTTATATCAATAAAAATAATAAACTGTCTTTTAGTAGAGAATCCATGTGTAAATTGTAGCCAAAAATGAACTCAACATATAATCCACTTTTGGAGGGAAGTTATTTTTCAATACTGAAAAAAACCCTAAACCCCAGGGGCTAATTTGTATAGCAAGTGGGAAAAGAATCACAGTATCTAATTCTTAAGTGAAACACAACATTAATTGCTCAATGTGGTATTTCAGATTTTACAGCTAGATTATCATGGAGTGTAATGCATGCAATTGTAATTAAAGAAGTAATAACGTGCTGAGAAGAGTTATTCATCTTAAAATAATGCATATGGCTTCGATAAGAAGCTATTTGATCTAGGGATGTTCACACAAGTAGTGCACCAGTTGACTGCATTAAATTCATTTGCAGATAAGGTTTGGCTGCCTTCACCAACAGTAGTAAAAGATAAGCCTGAGTTGTTAATTAAGTTCTCAGCTGATTTCTTGGCTGTGTTTGTTTTAGTAGCTCTGAAGAGATTAAAATAGTGTCTTTCTGAAAAAAAGGTTGTTCATTTACATTTTCTAAACAAGTTTGAGGTTTTTTTGTATGTTTTACTCAGTATTTCTTCTAGGGAGGCAGTTCATACCCTTTATGATAAAATAGCTTAATTGGTTTAAACCTGTTGAGTTGCTGTAGCTGTGCTGATGCACAATGTTTTTACCTTGTCAGCCTTTCCAATTGGCCAGGTAAACCAGTACATATAATTAGCACCACGAAGTGTTGTGTGCATCCAGTCACTGTGAATTTGCAAGTTAATTCCAAGCATGAAGACTGCAGATTTCTGCTGGGAGATAACCAAGTGTTCCTGTGGAACTTCACTGCCACCTATGCAGTCTGAAATACCTGCCAGGGATGTGTATGGGCTTCTGCTCCTGGGTCTGGCTACTTCTTATTCCTCGTCTGTAAGAGTAGTGGGCCTGTTCAGCTGGCTGTTCAACTCAGGGTAACATGCAGTTGGCTAAAGCCTGATGCCCAAGTCCTGCCAGAATAGGATAGCCAAGGGTAATCTGTTCCACAGAGCAGCTGCAGATTCCACTAGAGTGTCTGGCTAGTCCAAGGTTGTGTTAAAGGTGGAGGAGGGAGAGGATTGTCAAGAAGGCTTCAGGCAAAGGAAGGCTGTTGACATAGGGGTTGACGTGGTGATATTCTGAACTGAGACTGTTGAGGATCCTTTCGATTGCAGAAGTACATGAGAATAGCTATACCGAGTCAAGCATAGGATCCATTTCTGCAGTGCTGTTTCTCCATCAGTGGCCAATGCCCAGTGCCTAGGAAGTGCTTTTGTGAATTTTTTTCTTTCTGAATACTCTATATAGTACCTTCTTCAAGGTACTATTCCAGCTTTGGGCTGTCTGTGGCTCACATTATAAAGCTCCTAGCGATGATGTTTTCATATGTGCCACATCCCTGGGGATTTTTCCCTCTCTGAATTTATCCTTAGAGAGACTGGTAGTAATCCCATTTGTCACAAATCTGCTGCTGTGGAGTTTGGCATAGACTGGTGTACAGCTGGTGTGTATAGCCGTAAGGAAGGTATAAAGCCCCCCATAGGCAGACTCCCAGTAAGTCTTTGCTGTCTAGTTCTGCAGACTCAACAGACAGAACAGCAGCTGCAAGCTGTCACTATTTTCATCCCTTTGATATTTTCATGCCCTGTGGTGCTGTTCTGGTCCTTCTGAACCATCAACTAGGTATTGCATGAGATACTTGGAAGAAAACTATGCTTAGTTGAGTATGATGCTCCAGCAAAATGCCATCAGATTTAACTGATCCTGAAACAAAGTAAACCTTGAAGGGCTTCAGGGATTACATCCAGGGCTGACATGTAACCTTGCAAGATACAACTATTGAGAGGAAAGCAACTGCTGCTCTGAGCTCTGTGGATAGCGAACAAAATGAGCAGAAAAGTGAGTTCATTAAAATCTGTATTAGTAGGCCAGATCCAGGAAAGCATCACTGATAGAAGCAAAGACAAGGTCATCACCAACTTGTCTAAATGCATGGTGGTAACAGGTGAAACACAAAACCTTCCTTCCTTGCCACACTTTGCTGATTCCAGTTTATGTTGTTTTCCAGCACCTGTTGAATACTGGGAAATACATTTCTGGAGTCAATGGCATTTGACAGGAGTTGGTTAAGGGGAGGTGTATGGAGAAGTGGGATTCCTGGGGATGAACTGTATGGCACATACTGCTACAAAGGAGTGGTGTCTGCTGGTGGATGTTGATGGCAGCAATCCTTAGCCAGCAAGCCTCTGCACACTGTATGGGACTACTTTCAGGTGCAAGCCATTGCTCTGTTATCTTCAGAGTGATTAGTTCTCCATAGCTCAAGTGCACTATTTGAAGAAGTTCCACAAGCACCCCTGCCTAAGTTTTTACTGTCTCATCATTTGAGATGCATAGTCAGCTGCTGTTTGAGCCTAAAAGGCAAGAATCCAAGCTAGCTTAGCTGACAGGTACAGAAAAAAATATACAAAGCAGTCATCCTTTAGCACACAGTCTCTGACAAAAAGACTCAGTTTTCAAATATGAGGCAGTGTTGCTAGTATTTCTTCCAGTTTGGGAATGTTTTGTCAGTGTTACATTGTCCTACAAGTTTAATGTGGATGACATTGGCAGGTACTGCAACCTGTGCAGGTTAGTCTAGTTAGAAGAAAGGTTTGTCCCTGTTTGGGACAAGCAACCAGCAGGAAGGTTGACAGTGATATCATGCAAGGAAGGGAAGGGAAATTATCTGAGACTCTCTGGACATGGACCAACTGTCAATGTTGCAAATGGGCAGCATGAGCTCTTGGTTAAGTCTTAGCTCACTGGCCTCCATGCTCTCAGGACCGCTCAGATAGGCAGTATCTAGGTCTATGATAAATTAGTCCAAGAAATACTGGATATTCATATTTGTAGACTTCACATTATTGGCTCTTGAATATTGACTTGTTTCATGGATGTCCTTGAGATTCTTGCTCTCACAATGCAGTATTTCTAGTTCCTGCAATGCTCCTTTTGAGTGTATTCTATGGCTGTAGTGATTCTTGTTGGGAGTCTCCTACATCCTCATGATAACACATGATGTAGATCCTGCTGATGGTGTGTCTGGTTCAAGCATTAGTATGCCTAATCACAAGGAAATGTGTGAGAGAAGGGAAGGGGAGGATAGCATAAGAATATTTGAAATGGTTAGGTAAGTCTATCCTTGTTTCATCAGAGGCTATTGGACACAGATGGAGTAAGGGTATAGGATATTTGAGTTTCTAGGTTGTGCTTTTAGGTAAACTCAAACTAAAAGTTTAGCTTTTCTGAGGTGTTTCTCTTGTTCCTATGTACATAATTCATAAGCTTCTTTATGGCAGTCGAGTTTGGTCCATTTTAAGTGGCTGTTCTGCTTTAATTGAGAAGGGCAGTTAAAATGCCATAAAAGATACTGTGTGGAAAAAAGTTCTAGATGCTTTTTTTTCTCCAGTGTATAGGTCCGATCTTGAAAGATGCTTGTAGCATGTGAGCTAAAGCTAAACTGAATGTAGCCTTCTTGTCTTACTTGAAAAGCTTATGTAAAATAAGAAATGGAAAACAGGATATTTTTGGATGGTTTGTTCAGCTCTGCATTGTAAAAGCAGATGAAATTATGAAAAGACAAATTCTGGAAGCATTAAATTATTTTTAACTCTCTTTTTTGTAAAGCAAACCTAAAATTGCTTTCATTCCTATAGATAGCTTTCTGTTCAATTCCAAATCTGTTACAAGTACAGCAGAATACAAAATAATGATGATGAGGACACCGGAACTGTAAAATGCTGTATCACATCTTGTCTATGAATGGATGTTGTGTGACTGTGGAGAAACACTGCAGTATGATTCCCATACATCTCTTTCATTTGAATGTGAGAAGGAGGAGGAGAAACAAGGTACAGATAGAGATTGCAAAGTAGATATGCTAAAATCTTTTAATCAGGGCACATGTTCCCATCCCAAGTCAAGCTGGCACTGGAACAGGTTGCCCAGAGAAGCTGTGCACGTTCCATCCCTGGAAGTGTTTTAAGGCCAGTTTGGATGGAGCTCTCAGCAACCTGGTCTAGTGGAAAGTGTCCCTGTCCACAACAGGAGGGCTGGAACTAGGTGATTTTTAAGGTTCCCCCCCAACCCAAACCATTCTATGGTTCTACAAAGTCCTGCCAGCTGTACCTAGCTGCCAAGACCATATTTAAAAGCTTGCAGTGTCCTCCCAGGCATCCTCTTTTGTGAGGTCCCTGTGAAAGGACAACAGTGTAGATTAGTTGGTTTGGCAAAACAACCTGTAGCTGCTTTGTTTATTTGCCTTCAGTCAGTCTTCTATTAAGTACAGTGTTTGCCATGGCAGTTTGGAAATGGTAGAAATGTACTTGTCTGTTCATCCGTAGTGAACTTTGTTTCCCAGAAATACATTTTTTACTCTGCATGATGAGGCTGATGAGTGTGCCAAGCCTGTTTGATATGTCCAGTAACTCAGCAGAGAAAAGACCATGGTGCATGGCACTCTGCTCTTGTGTCTCAAATGGTGTCAGCATGGTTCTACTGTCAAGAACCTGTACGTACACTTCTGTGCTGAAGTACACTGCTACACTAGATGGCAGGTGTCTGTTGCAAATGCTGTGTTACTGCACAGAATTTGACCTAAAATGTCAAAAGTGAAGTTAAGATTTGACCTATGTTCACAATAATTAATTTAATTTTTTTTTTCAAAATGCAGTGCATTGCATTGTCTTGGTCATTGCACAGTGGAGATATTTTGGGGTGTGTGAGACTTATCTGTGGAGGGAGGCAAGGCTCTGTTGGTAAGAATAGCTTGGTTTAGCTTATTGGAGCATGCAAAGCAGAAAGTGAACCTTACACTGAGTGAATCCACTGCTGCAGAGCTGGAGTCTGCTTTGCAGTGAGAGTGCTGTAGCAGTACAGGTTGCATGCTTGCTGTGGTCACAAGCAGCCCTGCTTGGGGCACAATTCAGAACCTGGATGTTCTTTTAACATGTCTGTCTCTTTGTTTGTTTGTTTCATAAGGAAAAGCTTCTCAAATCTGTTCTATGTCACTGTTTACTAGTCAGCAGTGTGGTGTTCAACCTTGCACAGGCTGAGCTTGACTCCCAGACCTTCAGAACTCACACTGAGGACAAAGCTGTCAGTGAATGGACTGTTGCAGGATTAGGCCCTACAGCAAGCCAAAGGCTTGTCTTTGAGGATTTCAATTTTCTCACTGTTAGAAATGCTCTCAAAGTTATCAGTGGATTAATACAGTTCACTTTTAATCTTCACAGTTCCATATATACCATGGATATATGTAAACATGGGCTTGTGTGTCTGCATGTGCCATACAGTTCATTTCCTTTAAGACTTAAAGGCAGAATTTCCTTTGTTGAGGTCTGAGGTCAACAAAACTAAGAACTAATTTTTTCTTCAGTGTCATGACTTACTGCTGCTCTGTGAAAGTCTGGTGGCTCAATTTTATTGCTGTATGATGGTGAGCTAATGGCATCTCCTAGCTGACTTTCAAGTCGTGTACTTCTCATCAGTTTTCATTCATAGTATAGCTTAGGCAGCACTCATAGTGTCAAAAAGAAAGAAATACTTCAGCCAGATGAATTTTTTTAGGACAGACTGCCTCATTCTTGCACTATATATATTAGTGCTTAAATCAATACATTAACTCTTAAGAAAAACCAAGAAGGAGAAGAAATGTGAAATGGTTTTTGCCTGGATGCAGCCTAGAGAAAGCTGCCACCGTCAGTAGGAAAGGTTGGGGTACAACAGTTTAATGTTTGCATAAGACATACAGAGGACTTAAAATGTTGGCTGGTTTGTGTTATGTATTGAGTGTAACCTGTGCCATGGGGTGTTCAGCACCATGTTCATAGGTGATGTAGCTTGAAGCAGAAACCCTGTTCGACTGACATTTATTGGCCTTGTGTTTTAACTCAGTAATACTATTGTCTCCTGAATTTACAAAGCAGCTATACTAGATCAAGATCTAGATGATTTTTTTTAACCAGAATTTGAGGAAAATAGGTTTCTATGCAGAAAGTTTAGAAAATTCTAAAAGTAGCTATGCTATAGAAATGTGTCAGGAAATACCTAGTGGAAGTAACACAGTATGGATGTTCAGTGTGTGCTTCTAAAATTACTCTCCAGAGTTCTCTGGAGACTTAGGACAAGAACATTTGTCAGGAATGTTTACTAGGCAGACGTGAAGCGAAACACCAGGGTAAATGCCATGTCCAGTTAAAACTCATGAAGTATGCTAAATAATTAGATGTGATCTTTGTTGCAATTTGCTTGTTTTTCTGATACCTCTGATTATTCAGAGCTGTCAAAGGTTTTTAAATAGTCAGGATACAGTTTCTATACCTACACAAAATATTCAAGTAGGATAGATGATCCTAACATTGTGGTGTTGGGATTCCTTGGCTCCGTGGTTGATTCAATGAGTGGCACCGTGTTCTCCACAGCTCTGATTTCTTCAAAGTTATCCCGTAACTTCTCTCAAAGATGTTCTAAAGACAAACATCACAGTGGCTCCAACTATAAACAAAGTCTTTAGAGTGATTTCTGCTTTCTGTAGGAATATATTCAAACTCGGTTTTTTCTCATTTCATTCTTTAAGAGATGATAAATTGGGCATGAGTACAGCTGATGCCAGAAGGTAAATGAAATGGATGATACTTGTTTACTAAAACTAGCTGGTAAATTATGTGGAAGAGTGTTAAGCTGCAAGAGGAGAAAGTCAGAAAATATAGAAGACAGTTGGATAAGTATCCTTTCTGTTCAAGAAAAACAAATAAAACATTTTTGTTTGGTGGTTGCCAGATAAAAGTTAAAATTGGTGTGCCTCATGCATGTTTTATTGCTACAGCTGTTTGGGTTCTTCGTGCAAGGGTATCTTACTTTCTGAATATCACAGTTCTTTAGATACCACTGACTTCAGAAGATTGTGATCTTTATAAGTCATTCCTATTTGATTTAGAATGTTACTAAATATTTGATTCCTGAATATCTAAGTTAAGAATCATCAACCTTAAAATATATTGCCATCCTCTGCTTCCCCCTGCACACACTACCTTGTGAAAATCATGTGGATTTTCACTGTGTTGAAGTAAGATTATTTTCTTTCCATAAAACGCAAGACAAAAGGAGAATGGAGAAAACCTTGAACATATTTTTCTGTACTGAGAGTTTACACTAGGTGGCATGCAAGGAAAGCCAGAATCACAAACCTGTCTTAAAATTACTGAAGTTAAAATCTCAGACTTGTTTCAGAATGTTTTTATCTTGTCTTTTGATCACTTTTAAATGTCTTTACAGGTTGAAATGTCCTCTTGCTGGTACAAATAAAAGATTTCTTATTAATACCATCAAAAACACATTACCGTCTCAAAAGGAACAAGACCAAGAACGTGAGCAAAAGGAAGACAATAAGGAGTCTGAGCCAAGCAAAAGCAGGAAAGAAGAAAAACCAAAGAAACGCAGAATTCACCCATATACACCCAGCTTTCAGTCCAGAAGGAGAGTCAGCCGCTCTCCTCCACGGCACCAAAGCAGGAGCCAGCACGCAAAGGATAAGCATGAAAAGCGATCAAGCAAGCGATGAGGAGAGTGACGAGTGTGTGTTGTTACAAGCCAGCAATGTCATTAAGTGTAGGACAGCAGGGATGTCTCACTGTTTCAGGAAGATATGCTGTTCAAACTTGAGCTTTGAAACAAGTGGCTTGTGTGAGAAGTAACCTTGGGGTAGCTTTAGAAAACTTTTCTTTGGGACCTTTAAGAAAAAAGCAAAGCGCAACATAAATCTTTCAGTCGTTTTAGAACAGACATTCCTTTCCCTTTGCTCCATTCCTCTCTCCCCTTCTGATTAATCTTAGGGTCTTGGTGATGGAGCGTGATGTGTGTCACTGTCTGATACAACTCATTTAGTCATGTCACTCTTTTTGAAATAAATTTAAATTAAGCAGAAATCTATTTATTGTGTGAAGTTTGCAGAATTTCTTTGCTGCTAACCAATAAAGAAGTTTTGCTTATCTGGGTTAGTTTAGTTTTACAGAATCTAGAAGGGAAGGCTGGTCAGTGTCTGGCCATGCATATGCATTTTGTATAGAATATGAGAGATTGCTTTCTTTAGTATAAAAAGAGCAAATTTTAAATGGACAACACTGGTTTAGCTTTCCAGGAGGAACTACCAGGAAATACTGATTTTTGCTTGTTATTGTATATTCACAAACCTGTCGTAGATAATAAACATTACCCCTAAAAAGCCATAACTGCAATAATTGTCTCTGTTTAGACTTCTCTCTGTAAGGAAGTAGTTTGAATAGTCTGTTGTCACGGTGCTTTCAAAACAAACCCTGAATACAAAATTTTTGTGTTCTCTGTCCACTGCTAGGAAGTTTCCAAGTAAATGTGTAATACTAAAAGTGCAGAGGTGATGTTTTGAAACAGTCAAATGCTCACTTTCCAAACCTAAGTGGCAATTCTGTAGTGGTTCAGTTTTTAGACTCGTGGCTGGGAGCACAAGTAATACACATCAGCGTATTCTGCGTCTCATTTCTGTTGGTGTTACAATAACAAACTTCTGTGGGAAGTATTTTGTATTTCACTGTCCTCAGAAATAATTGTTTTAAACGTAGATTTCAGTTTTTAAGTGTGTTGACAATAAAATCGAAAATGTTCATTGAAGGTGCCTTGTCGAGTTGATGCTTTTAGTGGGTTCCTTAACTGCAATGTACTTCTCCTGCAAGGGCAGGGGCCGAGGGCTGCGTGGTCCTTCTGCCTTGAGTCGGGGCAAGAGTGCCACCTATAGGCGGATCTGCGCCTCGCCTGGCTCCCTTACCCGTCTCCTGGGAAGCTCATGTTAGGTACGACATGGGAAGAACAAAGTGGAGATCTGCTGTGGCTCAATTTTGGTGCATGTGCTGGGAATTACTCTTCTGAGTAAAGGGAAGGTAGTTAAGCTGGCATTGAGCCCACCAGCGACTGCCAGGGTCTGTGTATCCAATGAAGTTGGGATGCTTTTACATTTCCACAGAGGAGTTGTGGACAGTTCCTCTATTTCCCTGCAGGAAACATAGCACTAGAATAGAAGTCCCAATGTTTCAGAAAATTTGCGACAATTTCACTGGGATCAATGAAAAGGTAGTATCTTAGGAGAATGTAGGACTGTCTTTGGTTTAAATAAACAAATGTGGCTTGCAGTCCTTATTTTGCTGGTCGCTGGTGGTGTGCTCCTTACTAACCCATCTTGGAAGGACTGAGACTGTAATACAGGCTGGGCGCTGCTGCAGATTCTCTGCTGGATGGATGTGACTTTGCAGCAGAGAATTCATCACACTATTGGTCAGGATTTGGACTGGAGATGTTCCACAGAAGAAATTCATGTGAATTTTTGCTAGTCTGGCTTCTGCTGGTAATATGCTGTCTTGAGAGCTTGCAAGGCTCAGGCCTTCAAACAGCTGTTTAGGATAGGGGCTGTTGTTTGTTCTATATTTATTTATGCCAGGTGCTCAAGTAGGTAAAGTTATTAGGCAATGCTGTCAGAATTCATCTGAATTGTTGATAGTGTTTACATACTGGAAATACTCAACTAAAGGATCTGATATAACCTACACAACTGGGGAAAGCCTGTTTTCATCGGTGGTGGTGGTAGCTACAGATCTAATTCCACTTGTTTCTGACTTGCAAAACAGGCAAATTATTGATCTTGCATTGGTTAATTCCATCTTCTGATGCTGTTTTTCATAAATGTAAAGAATGAAACCAAGATCCTCTGCTGCTCATTAACTTGTTAAGGTCACTCTTCACAGAATTACAGAATGGGTAAGATTGGAAAGGAGCAGAGTGATCATCTGCTAATCACTTTTAAAATAGAAAATAGGGTGTGTAAAGCCAGGTTTGTATTGTGTCTGCAGTAGCTCATATTTTTCATCACCAGCATCATGTTTATAGTGTATCTTAAAGATAATATTTAACCCTGAAAATTAACACTTGAACATGACTTTTCAAAATGTGTGACTGCTGTAACTCAGATCATTTGTTACATGTAAAAGTGTGTAGTCCTTAAATACGTAAGTAAACACTGTGTTCTTGGTCTCAGCTGCCCAGAGTAGTGCACTGTAGCCTAGTTACTTGCATGGGGGGGAAATGCACCTTACATTAGTGTTGCTGCAGTGGTACTTCAAAGACATTTTGTGTTTAGCTGTGAACTCCCAATGTTGTCTGTGTTTAGTTTCAGAGAACAATGTGTGGGTAACCAAGTTTATTCGAGTGAAGCTACTCTCTTGCCATAGCCAGAACTTCTTTATTAGACTTCATTATTATGTTGGACAGATATCCTCCCAATGTTCATTTTCATCACTCTGATACTGAATGTAGATCACAAAACAATGTGTTGGAGGAGAAAGCATTTTACAATTAGTCTTCATTAAAAATACTTTTGGTAGTTTTGACTGTCAGGGATATAGTAATGTGCAGTTCTTATATTCATTGTACAGTCTCTTCTCTTTTGTAAATCCAATTTGGATTATTTACAATGAATCATGAATGTCCAAGAAAAGCCAAACAGGTTTCATGTATAACATGGCTTAAAGGCAAAACCAGAACCTGTTTTTTAGACTGTATCAGTCTAAAACAGAAGCTTCTTGAGGTGCAGTTGTGTGTTCCTTAGTGATCATGAAATTTCTGCAGAAAACGAGTTAACAAAGGAGATGTAAATGTTTGTAGATCAATGGAATAATGTAGCAGGAGGGGGTTGCTTTTCCTGCACAGAACTGTTTGGGGTTTTTTGTGGCTGTGAGTTGATCACCGAGGAGCATGTTTCCTCTCCTGTCCTATCAGAGCTCTCATTAATAGTTATGTGCTTTTGGTTAATTAAACTGGAACAACACAAAAGTAGGCTTGCTTGGATAAGTAGCAAGAAAACATATATGGATTGTATTTGGAGAAGGATTTTATTCATTTTACCAGTGGAGTCACTGATCCACCAAATCTTTATTCATGTGAGTGATCTTTGCACTTGCAAATAATCCTGTTGTAGCTCACCGTCTATGAATGAAACTCTTGTCTGCATTAATATACACTGTTTTACTGACTGTCAATAGGAAGTAATCAAGAGTAGATGGTAAAAAGTACATAGATTCAATTTAAAAACAACAAAATAAAACCCGTCTAAAAACAAGCCTTAAAATTTTGCAAACTATATATTCACACTCCCTTTTCCAAATACAATAGTCTTAAAATGAAAAAAAAACCTCAAATACTTTTATGCCAAATATTTAGCAGCTTCTCAGAGTCTCAAATGAAGATTGTGGTTGTATCTTCCTTGTTTATTTTACATCATTTCAGTATTGCTTAGACTCTACATTTATTAAATATGGTTTTAATCACTCTCAGGCTGTTACCCCTCACCTTATAAAATGTTTCTCGAAGGCTGAATCTGTGTTGAATCTCAAAACATTGAATCTCCATCTGTATGCAACAAAAATAAACTTTGATTTGTAAGAGAAAGCAAGAATATGCTATTTTTACACAAAATTGCTGTTCATACAATATTCACTGCTACCCAAAATGATGAGCCTTGTGTTACAGCTGGAATGTTGAGGCTAAGGGATGGTGTAAGTTCTGCATAGTTCTGCCAAGAGGGATATGTATCTTTTATATAGCGGTCACATAGGTCCAGCTGTACAAACATTATGTGGGAAGCAGTGTGGTGCCTTGGGGAGGGGATATAGGTTGTTATAGGTCTCTGAAGAAGAGTTCAGTTCCTCATCTACAACTTCCTTGTAGGCTCTTAGGCAGGTTTTCTCATTGGATATGTCTGTACCATAATGAATAGGCTTTGCATGGTCATAAGCACTGTAGGCTGTTTCTCACCCACTTTCCATTCTCTTGGCTGCCCTGCAGGTGGCCATCAGCTTCCCTGTGTGGCTGTTCGGTAAGGTCCCACAGGCTTCTGCAGCCCTTTGGCCTCCAGACACAGTAGGCATCACTGCTATGAGCCTTGACTGTGGGCATGGACACACCACAACCAAGTGAAGCTTTGGCATTGAGCAGGGCAGGATTGGGGCTTAGCTTCATGTCCATCGTGGGGATTTGAGATGTAGGAATACCCAGCATAGATATGTAGGGATGCTTTGGGAAAATCACATCACAGCCTCATGTTGGTAACCTGAGGTACTCTGTATGCCCATGAAGCACCATTATGGTCGGGAGTATGGCATGACAAACAGATTCATGTTCTGCCATCTCAGTGTCATTGCAGGCTGGAACACTCACAAAAAGTGCCTTACAAGGATATGACACTACAGTCACAAAGGCAAAAATCAAAACTTTGTCAGAAAGAGAAGGCAAAGGTATCTTTATTGGTGTGAATAAGAGAAGGCTGTCTAGACCACTGTAGAATACCAGCATAACTGAGGACTTAATTGAGCTCTAAGTCTTAAAAGTACAGCCACAGAGAGCTGACAGAGCAGAATGGAAATCCTGCTGCTGTGTGCCACCCTCCCACCCCCAGCGGTTTAGCTTATGTGGGAGGCACCCTGACTACCCCATTGCATCCCATTCCTTTTCCCTTAGGTGGCAAACACATCATATTAAGAGTCTTTCCTGCTCTCTCATCAGTTCTGGCACATCTCATGTCTATGCTGAGATGGCAAAGATCCTTCATGTTTGTCAACTGTAAGGCTAAAGACCCAAGCTTGGTGGAGTTCATTCTGATACTAGTCACAAACATATGGTTATTAGAATAACAAAGAAAAACTAACACATGCTGCAGCTACTTAATCATTGATCCTTTAAAATTGTATGTTTAACAGTTTCAGTAAAGTTCACCTTCTAGAGATTCTCCCTCGGTTCGTGCCTGTGTGGCCACAGCTCCAGCCAATTGGCCACTGCAGGGCTCCAGTTTACGTGTGTTCGGTTTTGCCATGGAGGATCTGAAAGAACATGGGCACAGGACCATGGTATGAAAGGGAGAATGCAGGGACATGGCCTATTGTTTACTGCAATCATTGGCCAGAGTGTTCTTAGCATTGT